TATGGAGCTTGAGTAATTTTTCTTCAGATTATACCGTAGTTACTGCCCGCTTTATCCAATGGACAGAAGATGTAGTTATCTTTATATTGCTCGACAACTTTATGAGGGTAATTTTCTCCCATATTACCCAGTTAGATTTAGTTAGCAGAGGGTTCTTTCGAAGTTCCTGAGTAGTAAACATTATTCTCAGTTTTCACTTTTGTACTTTGTTTAATTGCATCGAGAGATGCATTTTACCCATTTCTTTGTCCACTAACCCCTAACCACTGATGAGTCTCAGGGGGTGGAGAAGAAAGTTCGTCAAGAGAAACGAGCCATCTTTTACTTCAATTTAATCATTGTCACTATTTGTTACACTTTACTTATTACAAATGTAAATTCACGCACTTCGCTTTCATAGCATCAAGCCATAGTATGTAGTTGCGCGACTTGTCGCACGGAACAAACACTGAACTTGCTCCGTCAGTCTCAATGCGTTCACAGTGATTCCCTGAAAATAAAGAAGGCAAAGGCAGGAGTGAAAAATTCTCGGATAACACCTTATAGGGAGAGAATATAAAAATTGAAGTTCAATGTAGTTGGGATTAAGCCCGGCCGGTATTTGGAATGCGCCTCCGGCGTTGGCCTCCCATCTACAATTATAGTAGCCATATGAATGCGTATGTGACCTATCCAATGAATCGCCTTGACCAGCCGATGTACGAGTCAGCGCTTTTATCCTCCCAGACTAGTGTGTTACCAATTTATCTGCTACGAAAAATGGAAGGCTTGGTCAGCTTGGGCAAGTGTCGGTCCGGGATTCGATCTTGGGAACTTGAGCCTGTGATAGTGCACCAACTACCATTGCAAAATATCCGGCCTTCGTAGTACTCAGCAGCAGAAATGTTACGAGAAGCGGTTATTGTCTCGATGTTAGCTGAAGCAACAGAGCAAAGAGCCTTCTACTGAGCAGCTGCAGTTGCTTGATTCAGGCTACCAGGGACTTGCTGCATGACAAGATTCTAAGTTATAGCAATGGTGAAGTAAAGGAAAACTGGGAAGTGAGTGAAAGTTTTAAAACTTTTTGTGCTACACCAGGTGTGTGCGAAGTTAAAGCCTCCGCAGCTGAGGTGAGCAAGCTGAAAATCCTGTTTCTAGGCAGGTTGTCGTGCATTGTTCAAAAGGCATGCAAGAGAATGATTGAACTCGCTAGACTTCCTCAAAGTTCTTAGCATGCATTGCTCCATTGTTAATGTTCTTCTTGACAACAAACTCTACTTGCATAAATACATAGCAAGTGTTTCTTTCGTTGATCTCAGTGATCGATACTAATGATCATTTAAGTTGAAATAAACGACTAGTACTTTTACACTAGTAAAGACGGTAAATGTAGCTGAAGCAGGATTTGTAGTTCGAGAAAATCGGCTCCCAGCAGCCCTTATTTCTCTACCAAACATTGGAACGCAGAAGCTCTTATGAGGATTTTTTTTAACAGAATATTTTTTCAGTGAATCGATGACAATCCGACATTTTAATAGTGGGAAAGGAAACCAGATGGTGTTTGTGGAGTGCGCTCCACACTGCAATGTACAGCTGAAATTAGGCAGTATACATCTATGAAAGAGCAATACAATCTAGGTGAGGTCTCATAAGAAAGTCATAAGACGTTTGCGGCGCACGTCAGGCAGACCCTCTTCCACCCTCTGATTTCAACCCCAGTGGTCTCCCCGTCCTATTGCGCATCCAGCGGAGTGAGAACAAAATTCTACAGATTGAAAGAAATGAAAATGAAAATCTCTGGAGATTTCTTTGATTTTTTTTTATTGAAGACAGTCAAATCCTTCCATGGAAAGGCCTTTTGATGTTAGACAGTTTCCGTAGCGTGAAAGCTACACATCTCACCTTCCCATCATAATACTGGGCCTACCATGAAAGCGAAAATCAAGGAGGAAAGCTTCGGTTACCCTTAATTTCTGTTTGAACGAGTTCCGTCGTTTTCGGACAGGAGCATACGGCTTCAACTGCGTTTTCCTTTGCGTGGTTCATCAGAGTACAGTTTGAAGCGTTCATGCAACTGTAGGATGCGCACGGAGATTGGATATCGCACTGTAAGTTGATCTTCAATCACGAAAATTTGTGGAATGAACAGTTGCGGGGAATTTTTGTACGGTCGCACATAAAGACACAGTTTACAAGAAAAATGGTTTCTTAGATTCCTCCTTTGGAGCAACCGTGGCACCTTAGGTAGCACAAAGGACGCTGATGAGTTGTAAAGTGGTCTGCTCAGAGCGTAATGAAGGTCCCCAAACCGGTTTAGCTGATGTCCACAGCCAAAGACGGACGAGATCTTACCATCAGACAAGTTGTTGAGGCTGTGGGGGTTGCTCTATTCGCACCAGGTCCCATACCCGAACCATGCAATCAGCTGGTCGCCGGAAGGTGGAGGAATGCTTTACTCCAACTCTTTCACTCTCTACTATCCTTTTCTGCTGCTGCCGTCTTGTTTCTATAATAGTTTTCTACGTTCCGCGGATAGGAGACGTGGGTTATTTTCGCTGATATTCGTGTTTTTTTGTACCTTGTGCAAGCTGATTTCGAGGTTCCTTTTGAATTAATTTTTTTGAAAACAGTTTTTCCAGCACGGTATCTTTGAACTATTTTTGTTGAATGCCATACACTCACGGATTCGGTATTGAAGGGTGCTGGTTCATTTAAATGATTTTTTGCATGCATTCCACGTTCCTCAAGGTCCTTTTCTCGATGGGTGATGAAATTAAAAATTTTAGCTGTTGCTCTTTCTATTTTATTTTCTTCATTGGGGTGTCAAGTGCGTAAGTTGTGGTTGATGTGTTAAGAACCTCTGTGATGACCTCCTGTGATCCTGTATTAAAGATGGTTCGATGATTAAATTCTCTAGAGTAATATCTCTCATAAGTAGCTCTTGAGACGATACCAAAGGCATAACCTATCGAATCAAGTAGATAACCCGCTACTGCCCTCAGTTCCTTTCATCCCCTAAATTAATTGTATTACTAAGCTCCATGTATCTGGGGCTGTCCGCATTCACAAGTATCTAAGCTAAGTATCTAATGTCATTGACGCTCTTATTGAATGTCATTCGACAAAGAGCTCAGAGCTCAGAGTAGGGAGCTCAACCGTGCAGAGGTTCCCACATTTTCTTGCTGACTCTCCGCGGTTCATCCAGCCTTCTTGCCAGAACTTGGCAAGCGACACGTGGATACCCGTATGCCAAAAAGAGTAATATAAATGAGCCTCATCCCCTTGAACAGAAGGAGCACCCAATACGGCAGCGTTGGGTAGCGCCGCTCGGGAGAGACTGCTGAAGTCTCAGGAGCAAAACAGGCTGCCCAAAAGGTAGCAAACCGGGCGACCAACGCAGGAACGCATACATTGTGAGTGCGTACCGAAGATTTGATGATACAGGCTAGAAGATAAAGTACAACGACTCTGGGCTGACAGAGAGAAACACTGCCTTTTGGACGCCGATTTCACAGCCAAGAAGGATTGTTTATTGTAGCCCACGGAAGCTGTGGCGGGGGTGTACATACGTGTCCTCGTAAGCCCCCTTCCGACCATGAAGACTGGTTGGTATGAAAGCGTAATGACTGGATCCTTTATTATTGAAGAGATGTGGTTCATCCCGCGCTCCAATCTCCAATCATCTTTGCCTACGCAAACAAGGATGAGGAGCTAACACTTCAAATGGACCTTTAAATCTCTGCGGAACACATTGTTCCAGAAGCATTGTTTTCGACGCTATGGTTGGCATTAGAAAAATGTTCGAGCGCTTCACATCTGTCGCGAAAGTTCTCCGACCCTCGAGCAATAACGTCCTTGAGCCAAAATGGCAGCTACGAAAGCAGCATCCAAAGGCCACGGTTCAAATTGGGCGTTCATTAAGGAATCTTCTCAAAGGTAACTACACTGACGTTTTCAGCTAAACCGTTGTCGGTTTCAATCGACATGGTTCAGGTATCAGTCGGTTCTCTTCGCTCTCGCCCTCGCGATCGTTCACATAATGTCTGCAGGCTGTCACCTCTAGAAGTGCTTTCGTTTGGAGTACCATTACGGTATATCTATATTTACTATATTCGCTAGTTCCCTGATATCAACTTTTTGACTTGTTTTCTTGTGAGGCGTTGTAGTTGTTAAGTACATATGTATTGTTCAGAGTATAAAGCATATACCTAATAGTAAAGTATAGTCAACCTATCCCATCCTATCTTCACCTCCTTCTCTGGTCTTTGCCGTTATCCTCTATTCGTTACGAGGGCCGAAAGCCCGCAGCGATATCCGGAAAATATGCATTTGCCCTCCAAGCGTTCGGCTGACCTACGCTACTTTCCCTTTAAGTGAGGTAGCGAATCATACCTTTTGTCGGGTCATGGTCCACCGCTGGAAGGCATCTCCTTGATTAGTCACGACGAAATCGCACTGTATTAGATCGAGCACTGTGAGAACCGTCTGTGTTCATAATGTCGGCCTACACATTTCAGTACGAGTTACAGAAGCCCTTTCATTCGCTATTGATTTTAATCACTAGGTAGACAATTCCGTGAAGAGACAGATCACATCATCTCCAATCGAACTTTTGCCAGACTGATGTCGCCGGTGTTCTGAAGTTCTACATCAATGATTAAACACGTCATGTGATTCTGCGATTACCGTTGAACCAGAATCGTTATCGACTTTCACCCGTCGAGGCGTAAAACAAAGAGCAATGGTTAATGGTCAGACTTTTTCACGAAAACTCGGTGCATAAAGGAGGCCTCGTATAGTTCGAGCAAGGAAGGTCTGCTGAATTAAACTGGCGTGAGAGCGAAAATAAAAAAGGGTGTAGACGTTATTAGCGCCTGTTTGTGCGAATCCATGGTCAACGTTCGGGATAAGTGACATGTGACATAGATTATGACGACAAAAAGGTGTTCGAACGAGATTCCGTCCGTGTGCCATCGCGGAAGAGTGGACTGTAGTGTCTTTGCTGCTTTACTTTTCCGTCATTAATTGGGGCTCTGAATGATCGGCTTGGGATAGTGGCTAATGGCGCAGCCTCTACAAGATCCTTGAAACATGCTGTTTTTGAATATGGTCAGATATGCTGCAGGTTTAGAACATATCCAGGCTGGTTTTCGATCCAATAACGTCTCATATGACATACCCGAGCGCCACAGGTTGTAGAAGGGAATCTCGGGAACCCTTTTCTACCGTGTACTTTCTCCTTCGAATTGAGTCAGGTTAGGTAAAGTATGTTCGCAAGCGATTAAAGGTGTTGCACTCACGCGCTCGCCGACCCACTGTTGAGGATCACACTCACAAACACAGCCAGTATCAGGGTCGTAGTGTCCCCTTCCATGACTACTGCAGTAATCCTCCTCACAGCTCCGCTCTTCTTCTGTGATGTGGCAGAATTCGCCAATAAAACCATCCAAACAGATGCACCTGAAGACAAGAAAGTATTAAGATCGCTTCACTATCATAAGATCTTAGATTCTTCAATCTCACTGATATTGTACGGTGATCAAAAAGTCCTGCTTGGTTTCGCTTGCTGATAATTCAGGATTAGCCTTTTTAAACTGGCGCAAAGCTATGGGATCCACGAAGGTTTGATTCTTCGTTATGCTGAAAAAGGGTTTTCAGAGGGCGTTCGCTGGATTCAGAGCATACAGATTCCATTCATTCAGCATAGTCCTGTGTTTCCGGCTAGAAACCTAAGTACAGCTATTCATTGCGATTTTGCAGCTCTTTTCTCATACAATTTCACAAAAATATGTCA